ATATAAAATTTGTTTATTCACTTTTGTTTTTTAGCCTACTTCTTTAATTTACTAAACGTAATCAAGTAATATATTAGCCTTTTTTAATCATTTTGCTTAGTAATTATATTTGAATTATTATTTAATGTAAAAAGATTGAAGAAAAGGAACACAAAGTAATTAATTTCTATTTATTAAGTCCTTTGTGAAATCGTTTGGGTGTCTTAATTCAATTTCTCCATAGGCCAAGAGCCTTATCCATTACTATTATGCCATTACTCGAGCATCTATCGTCCCTCTTTGATTTTTACCCGTATAAAGATTTTCGCACTTTCACGTTTAATGATGTATTATACACGTACGTACATATTTCTCATGTTTAATATATGTATTTTTTACAAAAATTACACTAAGACACACAAAATTCACGTATTATACACGTATTACTGAATAAAAAAATATATACTTTTTATAAATATAAAAAAATTAAAAAAATAGTATCGCCGTGCGGCTATACTTGTTTTGCACAAAAAAAAAAATAGTATAACCAGTCGTCTTTGACACGTGGGCTTGGGCCATGGGCTGGTCTTTTTATACATATAAACGTATAGCCGCGCGGCTATACGTTTTTTAAATTTAAATAAATGTGTATAGTCGTTCGGCTGTACTCATTTTTCTTATTTTTTAAAAAATAGGCTTTACTCTTTTCACACGTGGCACTTGGAGGCTGGGAGTGTCCTTTATTTTAAGACATACATAGTATAGCCGCACGGCTATACTATTTTGTTATTTAAATAATTTGAAAATATAAAATTTGTTTCTTCACTTTTGTTTTTTGGTCTACTTCTTGCACAATGGGTTAATAGTTGGAAATCATTAGAATGAGAGCTATCAGAAAGAATTTAAATTTTAATTCCCCAATATCGCTTGTATAAATAAAATAATTGAAGAAATAAATCTAGCCCAATGGGCTAAAGTGGTATTTTAGCCCTAGACCTTAAAATGATAGGACAAAAATGCATATTTAAAGGGTAAATACATTCGAATATTTTAAAAGTATAGCCGAACGGTTAGAGCCTTTAAATATTAACGTATTCGA